CTTTTATTTGTCTTTTTTATACTTATTCTTATTCTTTTTTCTTTCTTTTTTGCAATAATTTTTGTCAACTTTTCATGTTTTTTATTTAGGCATTTGATCATTATCTTTGTAGCTTTAGTAGTTTTGAGCCTATTTTTTTGCTTAGCATATTTATTTGTTTATATGTCTTGCTTCTTTTTTTTTTATTACTATTTGGTCTCTTTTTGTTATTGCATATTTGATTACTCTTTGTAGTTCTATAATGTTTTTTCTTGGCATAGTTTTTTTTAGTTACTTTGTCTATTTGTTGTTGTATTATATATCTTCTTTTTTAATATATGTTTATTTGCTGCTATAATAATTGCTTCTTTTATTATGTCTTATATATTATTTATTCTGTCAGCTCATTTTCTCTTATCTTGTTTCTTTCTTTAAATATTCTTTAAAGTTTTTTTTACTTTAAGTTGTTTTTATAACTCTTATATATAGTTTTTTTAATTTTCTGTTTTTGCTTAATTATACAAATATAATGTTCTTGTTTGCTTTTTTCTTTTAACTTCTGTCTTGCTATTTTTTGTTGTTATATGTTTGATCTGTATTGTTGCTGTTATTAGTTTATAATTACTTTTTGTGATTTCTTCTACTTTCTTGATCTTTGCTTTTTGTAAGCCTAAAGCTAGTTAGTTTATCTAATATCTATATATAGTTTATTCTTGTTGCAACTTCTTTATTAAACTATGTGTATTTTTAGTTTGTCAAATAAATATTTCTGTATATATTACAGAAGTCTTATTTTTTCACCTAATTAAAAATCAGTAATCTTTTAAAACTTGTTGTTTGTAGGTTTTGCCTATCTAGTATATTGTCTAATATATAATTAAAGTTACTTATAATAATGATTTGTATTTGTTTTTTTTCTTTTAAAACTATTTTTATAATTTTTTATTAAATGTTCTTTACAACTTTTTTGTTATTTGGCAGTATATAAATCCTTATTATCACTAACTTTAATTATTTAAATTATAGTATAATCTTTATTATATTGTATATTTGCTTATCTTCTTAACTGCATCTATATGCTTTTCTTATTATTCTTTTATTAAAATTCCTATACCTAATTCTTTTTTCTTATCTTTTGTTGTACTTATTTAGTATTCTATATATCTTTTGTTAATAGTATATATTAAAAATTTTTTTTTCTTTCTGTAAGATTTGTTTTTATAATTTCTAATATTGCAATTTCTTTTTTTTTGTTCAACTAAACAGATTCTCTAGGTTTTAATCTTTGATCTTTAGTTTATTAATATTGTAACATACTATTTTAATTTTTTTTTACTTTTTTCTACCTTTTTTTTTTTTTTTTTTAACTATTCCAGATGATATCATCATGGGGCACATGTGGCACTCTTTTTATTAAATATAACTGCTAAATTATTATTTACATATTAAAAGATTTACTAAACTAAATATTTGTATATTTTCTTATAGATATGTTTGACAAAGTTTTTGTTATATAATAAACTAATCTCTTTGAAGATTCTGTTTCTTGCTATAGCTATGATTGCTAATTCTGGATATTGTATATTTCCTCATTTAAAAGCAGTATAACAATACCAAATTTCATATATAGTATATGTATGTAGTCATAATATAGTCCTATATGTTTTTGTTTTCTTTGTAATGTTTTTTAGAAATATTTTTTCTAGTGAGCCTAATATAGATTCAGTTTGGCCTGTTTTTAGAAATTTGTATGCTTTTATTCAAATTTTTTTACTAATTTTGTATTCTGTTGCAAAGTGTTTAATAGTTTGTACATTTTCTGAACATCAAGAGCATTCACCTGGTTCTGTTGCTACAAAGTAATGAAGTCTATATCCTAGTGATAAGGCTCTGTGAAAGAGTTATCAGAAGATGTTCTTTTTTCTATTAAGTATTGCTTTTTAGAAGATCTAATTGTTGTTTTGAGTTTGCTCTATAGGATCTGATTAGTTTGTAATCTTGAAATTAAGTTTTCTTAAAAGTTCTATCATAAGTTTAACTGTAATTTCTGGTTCTTTTTTCTTATCTATTTCTAGTTCTAGAAGATTTCAGGGCCAATTGAATTCTGTAAGAACCTCTCCTTTAGCTTTTTTTTATGCTAAAAGGTAAGGTTTCCATTCTGTAGATTATGCTTTAGTCCTGATTGGTTGTATAGAGAGTGCTTTTATAGTTAAAATATTTCTTTTTTGGTCAAGTATAAGGAAGATTCTTTTTCTTTCTATTTTTGTCCACAAAAGATTACTTGAGATTAGTTTTATCTAAACTAAAATTAGTCTAGCTTTTAGCATATTGCTAACTATTGGTGCTTGTAAGCCTCCTTGTTTATATAGTTGTTAGAAAGTAGAGTACCTCAGAAGCATTTTGGAGTTGTTTTTAATCCAGTAGGTGATAATCCTATTAATTTCTGCTATTTGCTTCTTGCTTGGTAACATTAGGTAAGTGACATACCAAATTTTTAAGAGAAGCAATGAATTTGCCAACATAATTTTTTCTTTTAAGAATAGGTTTCTATAAGTGAGCTTTTTTAAGTTTAGTTTAAGTTTGTTTATGGCTTCTTGCTATAATTCTTTTTTTGGTATGCCATCAGTAGTAATTCTATTTTCTAAAACTGTAACATGATCTTGTTTTTTTAGTTTTTTAAATTAAGATTCTTTTGAAAGAATTTTTTCTCTTGCTGTGTTTATAAGTGGCATTAAATTAGTTTTAAGCTTGTTAATTATTGCATTAGAAGCTTTTTTGTAGTTATTGAATAGGCCTAGTATTGTTGTCCAATCAGTATGAGAGCTAATGCCTATTGTTAGATCATCTGCATACACAACACATTTGAAAGATTGGTTGTTAACTTTGATTTCTGTTATGTTTTTGTCTATCATGTTTAGCAATGGTTTAAATGCTAATATATATAGAAAAGGTGAGAGTGGGTTTTCTTGTTTGATCTCTCTTTCTACTCTAAAGGAGTTTGAAATATATCCTGAATCTAAAATATAGGCTTCTTGTTGAGAAAATAGATTCTTTATTAGGTTTTTAAATTCTTTATTGAAGCCTATATTTTCTAGTATCAGTTGAAGAAACTCATAACTTATTCTGTCAAAAGCTTTTTGCTGATTCACAAATAGCATCCAATGCTCTTTTGTATCATCTTTTTGGTTTTTTAAAATTGTAAGAATGTCCAATGCAGAGTCTATGATTAATCTGTTTGTGATGAAGCCCTGCTGATGTTAAAGTATAATTGCTTCACAAATCATATTTAGTCTGTTGACAATAATTTTCATAAAAATTTTAGCATCACAGTTGACCAGTAAGATAGGTTTCTAGTTGTTTATATTGTGTAGTTCCTTTGACTTCTTTGGTATTAGTATAACTAGATTTTTGCACTATGAGAAGGGCATTATTTCTGAGGTTAATACTTGGTTAAAGATTTGTTCTAGAATAGATATAATGTGTTCTTCTGTAAGTTTATAGAATTCATATATAAGGCCATCCAGTTCTAGGGACTTGTTATTTGGTAGTTTTTGAATAGTTATTGGAATTTCTTCTTTGAAAATAGGGTTTGTTAGTTTTTTGTTCATTTGTGTAGATACTTGTGGAAGATCTTTGGTGATTTGTTCTGCTATTTTATTATCAATTTTTTCTTTGCTATATATTGTAGAGTATTGTTCTTTAATATAATTAAGTACTTTTTTTTTATTAGATTGTTTCTGAGCTGAGAGAATTTGTATTTTTGTAAGAGCTAAACATGAGCTTCAACTTTTAAAACATAAATAGAAGTATTTAGCTGATTTTTCTCCTAGTTCTATTCAGTTTGTTTTTGATCAACATTGCCATCTTTGTGTCAGTTTAGTTAATTTTAATTGAATCTGTAAATTAAGGTTTTCTAGTATAACAAAGAGGTGCGTCTGGCTGGGAGATTTTCTTTTAATTGGTTAATTTTCTTGTAGAGTCTTTCTATTTTGTCTTCTGGGACTTTTGGTTTTTTAAAGACCTTTATGATTGATTTAATGTAAATTTTATGCATGTCTCAGCTTGTTGCAGAAGTAGCATCTTTGATTTCATTCAAGATTTCATTTTTTAGAATGTTATTTTTAAAGGAATTTAGATCAAATCTCCAAAGTGTTGAGTGCCTAGGTTTTTGTTCTAAACTTAGAATGCATTCAACTAAAAGGTAATCAGAGTTTCCAAATCTTGTTTTAGTTTCTGATTTGAGATGGCTGTAGTTTTCATCTATAAAGATGTAGTCTAGCTGAGTGGCTATTAATTGGTTGTTATATGTATTTTGATGGAATGTATAGAAGGGGTTTTATTTAGAAAACAAAGCTAAGTTGATAAATTCTTTTGTGATTTCATTAAGTAGTATTCTTGAGGGATCATTTTGAGAGATTGCCTGACTTATTCTATTGATATCTGGATTCAAGTTTGTGTTTAGATCTTCTGCGATAATGTTAATCATGTTTTCTTTTTTGTCTATATTACAATTGTTGAAGAATTCAGTTTTGTTTAAAATGTTTGGTGGTGCATAAACATTTATCACATAAAAGGCGAATTTCTTAAATATGAAACATGTTAAGATTATTCTGTCTTCTTGTAATATCTTGGTGTCATTAAATTTTATAGTTTTGTTTTCTGCTAATATTGCTGTTTTGCCTATCCAAATTAAGTCAAAAGGCTATTAGTCTTTTAAAAATTATTAGATAGCAGCATTAAAAGTATTTGTTTCTTATAAGAAAATGATGTCTAGTCTATAAGATTTTAAAAGTGTTAATGTTTTAGTCTGTTTGTCTAAATTGTTTAAGCCTTTAACATTTAATATAGTAATTTTAATTAAGTAATAGCTTATTAAAAATAAATTATTTAGTTTTAGAGCTTTCATAGGTTTTTTGTTTTGGATTATCCTGATAATTTTCTTTGTTGATTACTTTGTAAGGCTTTGAATCCTTATATTTTCTTTTTTTGTATACAACTAATGTAAAAGTAGAGTCATCTACTTTTTCTTGCTCATTTGATTGCATATTTTCCAAATTTGTATTGTTAATTGCTGGTCCTTGTGTTGTGTTAATGTTATTTTCAATAGGAATTTCTGTGCAAACAGTATCTGTTTTGTCATTCATATCATAATCTGATGTAATTTCTTTTATTACTTGTTCTTGTAAGCAGGTTTTATTTATGTTCATGTTTTGGGTTTCTTCTTGAATTAAAAGGTTTTCTACTTCTTCTATATATAGATTATCCTCTGTTGGGTTTTTAATGAATACTCTGTTTTGTACACTTTTTCTTTTGAATTTTTAATAATATAGTCTTAGATTATTCACTTCTTGAAATTGTGTACAGTTTTTTTTAATGTGTCCTGTTTGGTCACAGAAATAACAAACTTTTGGTGCCTCCTTTCACTTGGTAGTTACTTTATTATCATCTATATATGTGAAATAAGAAATTCTTTGTTCTAATTTTGAGTCTTTAGTATTATCGAAGATAATGATCTATTGATCTGTCATATAAGGAGTGCCTTTAATAAGTAGAGGTTTAATTGAAACAATTTTTCCAAAATTTTCAAAGGCTTCTTTCACTAAGCTGGAGATGTGTTCTTTGGTTCCTAATAATACGTTTCTTACTTTAATTAGTAAAAATGATTTATGTGCATCTGTTGGGATATAGTCATAATATGTTTTATTAAAAATTTTAATGCTATTAGTGGCATAATATGATAATTGATCTTGGTTTAAAAAGACAATTTCTAAATAAGATCTTAAGCTTTTTTTAAAGTGTTGTTTGGCTGCAACAATATCTTTTTCCAAACCTTCATATAAAGAGGCTATAATTTTATTAAGAGAGTTACAAAGAGCTGAAATTTTAATGATTAGTGCATTGTTGTTTTTTGATTTAATTTGGTTTTTAGGAGAAAAAGCTACAAAGATTGATTTTCTTCTTTTTAATTTTGTTAATATGTTTGTGCTCTGTTTGGCAGCTAATGCATAGCTTAAAGTGGGTCTGTGTCATGCTGTTTCTCTGTAGTATGACTTGTTTCTTTTTTAATAGTTGGCATGTAACTAATTTTATTGTTGTTTACATTTTTATCACTTGTTTTGTTTTTGTGATTTAATGTGTTTTCTAAAGCTTGAAAGTTGTTATTTCTTTGAATAATATTTTCCAATCAGTCTTTCTTGTTTTGGATTACTACTACTAGTTTTTTATTTGCTGCTTCTGTTTCTTCTTGTATTGCAAGAACACACTTAGAAGAAATGTTGTTAGACTTTTCTGCTAAGGGGTTGTTATCTACTTCTCTTTCAATATCAAGTTTTTGTATTTTAGAAATTTTTTCTGTCAATAAAGGTTCAACTCTTAGAAAGAGTTTTCTTTTTTTAGATACAAGGGCTCTGCCTCTTAAGGTAGACTTTTTTGTTGAGTTTTGTTTTGTGTTTAGTGACTTTATGATAGTTGTTTTTTATTTTCCTTTTCTGATTAAAGGTGAACAGGTTTTTTACTTTTTTTTTTAACTCTTTTTATATTATTTTTTTGTTCTTTATCAATTTTTTTTTTTTATTTTTTTTTTTTTTAGACTAAGAAATACTTTTTTTTTTTCTTTTTAAACACTTTTTTTTTATCTTATTAAAAATTTTTAATTTTCTTATCTGTATTTATTAATTCAACTAGTATGCTCTTAGAAGCAATCAGTCAAAACTATCTGGCTTTGTTAAGTTTCTGATTTTTTTAACCTTTCTAATATTTTTTTGAAGAAGCTTGTGCATCTAAAATTGTGTCTTTTTGATTTTAATTTGGTTTCTCTTATACTATCATGGTGTTTGTTATTTTTCTTTTTTCATTTATTTTTTATTTTTTTTTTTTTTTAACTTAAGCAGTCATGCTAGTACTTTATTAGAATTCTTGATACTATACAGATTACAGAGAATTTTTCTAATACTTAAGTCTAGCATTACCTGGCCACCTTATTGGTACCTAAGTGTGACTTGCTGCACTACCCCAAACAGAGGTAGACTGCTCATCTGACTGCCATTCTACAATAGGATATCACCAATCTGATGACGTCTTCTCATAAGAAAGCAAAAAAACAAAAAAAGATTTTATATATAAAAAAAACAGAGGTATAGGGTTAAATGATAAAAGATACAAAACAAGAAATAAAAGGAGAAAAGGAAAAAATAAGAAAAAAAAAAAGTGTGAAACTTGCAATTCACAAAAAATCAGACAGTCATGATTTTTAAGTCTGTGTCAAGTATAAAATTTGCAATTCACAGATATCAGACAACTACAATTATAAGCTTATGTCGGGCTTGTAAAAATTATAAACTATACTAAATAGAAATTACTCTACTATTTTCCTATTTACTTAGATTATTTAAACAAAAAACCAAAAAGAAGAAAAAACTTAGACTTTATTATAGAGGGTCAGTATAGAATACTAATTAGTTCAGAGGCAGTGTTTGACAGGTTTCTAGCAACTCAAGACACATGTATAGTCATGTTTGTTTTGCTGTATTATTTCCAATTCATGTTGTAAACAATCCTATTTAGAAAGTAAATACTGCTAACTGTTTTGGTGATTTTACATGCCGATCTTTAGAAGAGAATAAACTGAATTGCCCACTTTTATAAAATTTTCCTTGAAGAAAAAATAAGAGTGCTAGGTGAACCAACTTTTTAGCTTTTGTGAGTTCTTAACCCTTGTGAGTGTTCCTTGTAGGTTTTACAGTTATATAGAACTAATATATCCAACTTTGTTGTTTACTTAATAAGAAACCTTGGCTTTTACTAACTACTTCATCTATAGTCCTAAAGTGCTCTTTAAACTATCATCACAAGACTGTGACTTTTTTTCAACTCTATTTCAATGTCCAACAATGCATGTACAGTACTCCAGAAAAGTTTTCATAAAGTTTAATATATTAATTATATTATTTTCTGTAGTTTAGCTTTTTGGAAAATTTGGTTTAAGTGATCATTTTTTTTTTTATTTATTGCTATTATTATTTTTATATATTTTTATATCTAAAATTTTATTAGTTTATTCTTGTTAATATATTTTTATCTTTATTCTTGTTTATATATTTATTTTTTCTTTTTTTGTAATTTTGCCAAAAAAGTAAATAGTTGTTGAATCTTATTAGTTTTATTTATGCTACTCTTATTTTTTTTGCTAATGCAAACATAATTTTAGCTAATCTTCTTTGATTTTTATTTCTATTAAGTAGTATATATACTGATTTTGCATACTTTTTTCTTAAGTATTGTAGTAACAACACTTCTGATATGTTCTCTAAAAACTTAATAATCTTGTTATAAATTGATTTTGTATATTATATCAATTATAATCTTTTTTGTCTATTATTACTCTTGTCACTTTATATATTTCTATTGGCAATAATTATGGAATACTTTTTTCTTCTAGTTTTCTTATTTTAATTATTATAAATACTTTGTATTGTTACAGAGTTGCAGTCTTCTTAATACAATATAACCAAGTAACAAGGTTATCTGATATAATGATTAACTATTGCAAATATATACAGAATAAAGATGTAGCAGTTTACTTTACTACACAGCAACAGGCAAACAGTTTAAAATAGTAACAGTAGATTAACTTTATTAAATAAACATACAGTGACAACCTTGCCTATAAGAATTACTTTAGAGGGTAAATATTACTTTTACAAATTAAAGATAAAAATAAAAAGGTCTAGATTAAAGTATAAAAATTTAGAATTGGCAAGAAAAGAAAAAATATACCCTTTATATATCTTTTTACCTAACAGGTATAGTAGAAATTTAAGCAAAATTACTTGATACTATACCCAGAGTAATGGGATTTGAACAATATTAGATATCATTGTACTTGGAATAGTAGAGGTTTGAATAACATTAAATGATACTATGCTTGAAGTAGTGGAGAATTGTGTAAAAAGCAACTAAGAATATTGTTTATATCATTTGTTATTTGTATTAAAACACTTGAGACTTGTGTTTAGACACTTGAATCCATACAAAAGCATTTAGAATATATGCAGAAATACTTGGGATTCATGCAAAAACACTTGAAGTTTATGTTGAAGATACTGGAATTCTTGTGTTATAGCACTTGGCACAGTAATTTGGTGCTAGAATATCTAAAACTTGTACAGAAGTAATTGGGTTTGTAAGATGATAGTAACATTACAGAAGTATAACAAACATTCAATTTGATTGGCTTAAAGATTACTAAGTTATACAATATAAAAAAATTTTTTAAGTAACCTTATTATAAAAAACCATATTGTCAATTAGCAACTCATAGTTTTACATAATAAAATTTTTTTTAATACATATTATAATATTCTTTAACTCTTCATATTTTTTTTGTAAAAAAAGATCAATAAAGATTAATATTATTAAAAACTTTACTTATAAAAGCAAATATAAATAAGTGAATAAGTTAATTAAATATTAATAAGTTATATAAACTTTTTTTTTAATCTTTTCATTTTTTCTTAACATATTTGCATTATTGGTATTATTATTTTGGAATTACTATGAAGTAAACTCTTTGTTGCTATCATTGTTGCAGAGTTGTCATCTTTGTAAAAGTCATTCAGATGAAATTTTTTTTTTTAACTAACATTTCTTTTTTCTTTTATATGCTGTTTGTTAGAATTGATCATCATTGTTATTTTCAGAGTTTTTATAATATGAACTTATTACTATTTAATTGAAGTTGATGAATTAGTAATTTCAAAAGCATGAGCAAATAAACCTTTAAATAAGTATTGTTCTTTTGTTTAGAAGTTTTTTTTAATCTTTTATTCTTGTATAATCTTAGTATTTATTAACTTATATTAGCTTTTTTGATAGATTTCTGTGTTGTTTTCAGTGCATAGTTGAAATTATTAGATCTTTTATATAGGCATTATTCTTAGTTTTGTTGCTTATTCTCTTTTTAACAGGCTTTTGGCATTATTGTTTTCAGTTTGTAGTTAGAACTCAAAGGTAGAAGCTTGTCTAATTGGCTAATAAATTCAATTTTACATTCTATACAATTTAAAGTACATTTTAAAAAAGACAAAAACTAAACATAATAATATAAAAAAGACTATATAGAAGGTTTTATTAAAACTGTAGAACT